CCCTCCTCCCCTCCTCCCTCCATTCATCAACGACTCTATCCATCCATCCACTCATCCATACCTGTATCCATCCACCCATTCATCCAGCCATCCAATCATCCAACCAAGCAGCTAACCTTCAATCACCATCTAGAGGAAGCAGCAGCTCTCATGCCCCATCACCATAGCCGGGGACATTTGCTAAAACTCTGCGTGAGAAATGGCCCCAACTCCCCTTCTTTGTGTTTGTACGTGGTCATGCTGGACAGGAACGTGCAGGTAGGATAACCTTCTCTTAGTGTTCCTTCTTTTCTTTTCGATGGTCTGTCTCTTCCATTAGCAACACTGGTTAGATAGCCGTGAGAAATGGCTCCAGCTCGCCCATCCTCATTTATCGTTTTTCCCTTTTTTCCCCCTTTTTTTTGTTTCGAAAAAAAAAAAACATAGCATATTCAATGTACCTGTCTGTGAATCCAGTCCGGTTCATAACCCATTCTTAACACTGTCACACCGTTCTTTCTACTTGTTCTTTTTTCACTCATTTTCCTTTTGCTCTCCGATTTCCTTCTCCCCCCGCGTGAGACCTGAGGAGGGCCCACTTTGGATCTTGCATTCCCACCCCGAACCTCCACCAAACCTCTTTCTGCGGCTACCTGTAGCCCCATGGACAGCCAGTGGCAAATTTTGCACCCATCGACAGGTTCCGAGTTTAAAGTTTAAAGTTTAAAGTTTAAAGTTTAAAGTTGAAAGTTGAAACTTGAAATGCAACTGAAGACAGAGTTATGATGGGTTACCTAACTTACCTCCCGTCGAAGACGAGCAAACTACGGTGGTTTGCTTGTCAACAGAGCGCACCCATTTCGCCCACCTGCTTTCTCGTTAGCTGTTTCCTCAAAGGTCAGCGTAAACCACCACTGCCTCTCGCAGGCAAAGACGAGAATTGAAAATACGACATTCCCAAGACTTCGGATGAACAGTGTGCTACCGGTCTAAAAATAAAAATAAATCGCGACAGTGGTGGCTCGTTTTTTGACACACCGGGGGAATCCGCCTTGGCAAGAAATAGGTTCGGATGTAGTCGTTGTTTGAACCAGCAGTACGTTTCCCGGCCATTTTCCTAAGAGACGCGGCGGCGTGCATGGTGCCGCGTCGGGCAGGATATACAGGGGTGCCGTTTTCCTGGACACCCGTCCAGGCCAAACGGGTCACATGCGAGGCCCGTCTTGCCCGGACAGATGTCCAGCGAAACGGTGCCCCGGTACATCCTGCCCAACGCGGCAGCATGCACGTTGCACCTCTGCAAAAAAAAATGGGTGGGAAACGTACTGGTAGTCTGGTGGTTTAAAGCCCTCAAATACATGCACGTATGGCATCTGCTGCTACTGCTAATGCTTGTGTGATGAATGCTCACCAGGTATGATGAGGATGGTTTTACAGCCAATGGCATGGATCTCGATGGCTCGATCTTTTGTGTTGGATCGCTACTGGTGCATTGGCGTCCAGCGTCAGTCAAGGAAATCACACCCGGCAGGTTGGTTACTTCATGAATGTAGACCGATGTGGTGGCTTATCTTTCTTTTCTTTTTTTTCTTTTCTTTTCTTTTGTTCTTTTCTTTTCTTTTCCTTTTCCCTTCTCTTTTCTCTTTATTGTTCTTGTATTTTTTTTCGGTCTCTATAGAACGTAGCATGTGTTCACAACTTCACAGCAGTTTATATTCTTGTATATCATGTTACTTCCGTTTTATTGTGCTTTAAAGTTTAAACTGCTTTTGTAATTTTAATTTTCTTGCTTATTTGAATAAGTATTGTGCTTTTGTATTTGTTTTCTTACTTAACCTGGTCAACCATCTATCTAAGTTATCTGTATCTGTCTGTCCATCTGTATCTGGCAAGATGGATGGATGGATGGATGATTGTCTCTTGCTGTGATTCCTTCAGAGCATTTCACACACAGCTTTCACTTAGGTCACCATAAGAAAGTTTAGTGTTTGGCCTTCAATACTTGCTAAGTTGCTATCTTATCCCCTCTCCAAACGATTTTGGAGGAACGAGCCGCGTAATTTGTCGGCTTTTTGCGGCATTGCCCTGATCTTCCTTTGCATCCTGTGTAGCATTCTGCCATATAGTGTGTTCCCACTAGGCCGCCGAAGACTTCCTCTATTTCCTTGTTAGACACCCCACCCCCACACTCTATGGTTTTCTGACATCGTCTTTTCCAAATCACCCACGATGCAGCAGGTCTGTAATGGGAATCCAACTGGTATATTATTTGGTGCCCAATATTCCACTTCTTCTTTTTTCTTATTCTTTTTTTTTAACCTTTTGAAGTTTGCTTCTCTTCAACCTCTGAAGAAGTGGGTTTCTCATAATGGTCTCTTATTGACAAGAGAGAGAGAGAGAAAGAGAGAGAGAGAGAGAGAGAGAGAGAGAGAGAGAGAGAGAGAGAGAGAGAGAGAGAGAGAGAATGAGGGAGCTGGGTGTGTTCATTGGACCTCTTCCCCCTCGAGAAATGGTCTCCCTCGAGAAATCTGTCTTGTCAAAGTACAATTCAATTTTGTACATTCTGTTGGTATCAATTTCGTAATAGTTTTGATAGTTCACTGTTAGCAATGGGCACGATCTGTGCACTGGCTCAATGGACACGTTGATTTTGGAGAGCAGCATACGAATGATGAAACGCAGGCTGGCCGGATGGGTGTTGAAGTCATCAAGCGGGGTCTGGGGGGCTACGGAAGTGTTCACTTTTGAAGTAGGCCAGCAGTTGCACCTGTCTGTTTGACAGGTTGTGTCGTTTCGACTCGGTTGAAGGCGTACTTGAAACGATATTCACCAGTTTGCAGTAGCCGATGCAGATCCCAGGGCTCGATCCCTAGTCCCCACCTTACCTGTGTACGGTATCTGTGTCGACCCCTAGAGTTGAACCCGTGACCTGTGCATTTGTAACAGTTGGTAGGTTCTTGTAGGGTCCATAGGTAGCAGGGGTTCGATCTGTAGACCTGTCGAATAGGAGTCACAGTCAGGTCTAGAAGTCGTAGCTGTAGCTTTCTTGAAAGGTCAAGGTCGTAGCTGCTACAGTCCAGAAAGGTCAAGGTCGTAGCTGCTACAGTCCAGAAAGGCCAAGTCTACGGCCTTCCGGAAGGTCCCAGTAGTGGCCTTTCGAAGTTGCCCACATTTAGGCAAGTGGGCAAGTGGTGAGGCAAGTGGTGGAGTCTGCCCGTGCTGAGTCAGCAGTCCCAGTCCTAGGCAGTCCTGGTCCAGTCAAGCAAGTACCGCATGGGACTGTGTGCACTTCGGGCATGGGAAAGGGCCAGACCAACGAGCTGCAGAAGTATAAATCAAAGGGAAGCGCCCAGTCATGCATTCATTCCTGCGTGAGCCATGCGGAAGCGCTGCCACAAGCGACTTGTGCAAGGAGGTCTGCCGTGAGCCCGAGGACGAAGTGGGCGAGAGAGAAGGAGTTAGCCATAGCGATAGGGTAGTAGCGGCCATAGCCGCCATAGCTGTAGATAGAGTTCAGTGTATGTGTGTGTGTGTGTTCAGAGTATCGCGTGTGGGATATCCAGGGTGATCCTGTGTATGCGAACAGAGAGTTGTGTGGGCGCTGAGTCGCCATAGCCATTGAAGTGAACTTGTATCTGAACTGTGTTCTCGGTTACCATATCTCTGAGTTCTGAGTGGGCGTTTGTCGCCAGTTTGCTGCACATCCTGTTTGCATGCATGAGAAGTGTGAATGAGAGCGAGTCTGATTGCATACCCTGCTCTCAGGATGAGGTCCCAGGTCCTTGTTCTACCACCACTCGCCACATGTGACAATATAAAAATGGCGATTGTATCTTTGCAAGTAGGCGTCAGGTCGCATTTGCCGTTGTGCTCGGTTGGGCAGTTCTGCAATCAGGCCCATACCCTCTGTTGAAGCCAAGGGGTAATTACTAATTACTAATTCGAACTTCGAAGTATTGTTTTTGTTTTGTTTTGTCTTGTTTTGTTTTGTTTTGTTTTGTTTTGTTTTCAATGCTTTGCTTTTTTTTTTGTTCTTAAAAGTTAAAACTTAAAAGTCCCAAGTACTGTTTCAAAATGGTTTATAATTTATAAAACCGTTTAAAACGGTTTTTTTTACCTTTTTTTTTTTTTTTTTTTTTACGGGGGCGTCGGGGGGTTAGTTTGTGCAAGAGATGTTGGTTTCTCCAACTCCCTTGGATACTCGCTTCTCTTGAGAAAATGCTTTGCACTTTCTAGGAATCTTCAACGAGTGATGACTTTCATATCAGCTGTCCTCGAGTGACATCAACCCTTCATAAAACGATACTTATGCACGCACGCACGCTTGTGTGCATGTGGTTTATATGTTTGTTGAATTGTGTTTGTCATGAATGTATCAGCCTGGCACTACTGCAGCTACTGAGGCCTTCGCCTGGTAATGTTCTTTCACAGATTTTTTGGGGGAACGCAGATGTCATTCGGCTCCTTTTCTATCTATCTACAATTTCTGAAAGCATAAGACGGGTCTCGTGTGATGACGTCCTGCAATACCCGGAAAACCGCCTCGGCCCAGGGCCAAGTTGTCTCTCTCTCTTCGCCCTGCCTCTTTCTCATCGTGTCGCTCATTCTTTTCTTTCCCCCACGAGCTGTATTTGCATCGAAGGGACCAGTGCAGCTCAAATAAGAGAGCAAATGGCTGTTAAGTGCGCCGATTTTGACTTGTTTGTGGACGGTCTCAGGTGCCACTGTCCTGCAAGACGTGGGAACCCATGTGGGGCAAGGGCCGTGGTGTCTTCTTGTACAGTGTTTTCTTTTCTGAAGCATTTTCCCCCTTTGCTTGTTCTTCTTGTTGCACCCCCGCGCCCAAGCTGTATTTGCATAAAAGGTACCAGTCCACACCTGGCCCATTTGGCCCAAACCTCTTGCCGTGGTCCCTTTTTGCACGTGTTTTTTTTTCTTTGCTGTCTTCTTGTGCCTTTTTTTTCACTGCTTTGCACATCCTTTCGTTCCCTTTCTTTTCACTGCTTTTCACATCCTTTCTTTCCCTTTTTTTTTCACTGCTTTGCACATCCTTTCATTGGGTGACCAGTGGTGTTCTAATACAAGTACCACCCCGTGCCCATGTGGCTGAACAGTACACATGTAACTCTTAGTCAACAAGTCACGGGTTCGAATTGTGAGGAATAACAAATAGAGTTTAATGGACCATAATGTTAGGGTCATCATCATTTTTTTCCGTTTGGCGGGTGCAGTGGTTGGTTTGCATTTCTGTCTTCCTCCTCCCCCCCCCCCCCCCCCCCCCCCTCCTCGCCCCCAACACAAAATAGAAACATAGCATGAGCTCAAATTGTGATGATACAATCAGACGAATACAATAATTTTAGTGGCTACACCCCTCTTATTGAAGAAAAAAAAAAGGAAGGAAACACGAGTACAAAGGAAAAAGGGGTTTAAGGGGGCTTCCAAACATCCAGTAGATTAGCTGTCTCTTATACACATCTAGATGTGTATAAGAGACAGGTATTGTACCGCACAGCCGACGTAGAACCATCCACTGACTGGTTCTGCTGACATGTCATGAAGGAGATAACTGCAGTGACTGGTTCTGCTGAGATGTCATGAAGGAGATAACTGCACAACAGTGTTGGGCCAGCAACCGGCCGGTTGGACCGGCCCGGATGCAACTGGGGCCGGATCGACCCGGGTCCTCCAACCGGAATTCCGGTTGCGCTCAAAACCGGTCCGAAGTTTGTTTATTTTTATTTTTTGAAAGCAGGATTCGACTGCGCTCGCCGAGAACAGTCAGAATCCGCAAAGAAAACCAGGAACACAAAACTTTACCCTGTGGTGGTGGGGGGTTGGGGTTGGGGGGGGGGGGTTCCCGGGGGGTGGGGGTGTTAGGAGCGGTGTTACAGCAACCATGGCTATGGCGATCGGTGGGGTGAAATAGGAGAAGAGGAAGGAATAGGAGACATTGACGAAGAAGAAGAAGAAGAAGAATCAGGCTGTGGCTATGGCGGTCAGATGGAGAAGGGAAACTCCTGAAGAGGAGGGAGGCTATGAAGAGGAGAGGAGGAAGAACGCGAAGAGGAGGGGGGGAAGAAAAAGAGGAGAAGGAGAAGAAGAAAACGCGGAGGAGGAGAAGAGTAGGAGGCGGATGAGGGGTAGGGGTTTGTGTGACGATGAAGGGTGGGGGTGGTGTCGGTGTCGACGGGCGCGGTCGATTCCTCGTAGTTTTCTGTAGAGAAAAAAAGAAAAAACGAAGGGGAGTGGAGGAGGGAAAGATAAGAAGTTGACAGGAGAATGACGAAGAGGAGGAGGAGGAGAAAAAGCGTGAAGAGGAGAAGAAGAAGAAGACACAAAGAAGGAGAAGAAGAGTAGGAAGTGGAGGACGGGGAGGGGTTTGCATGACGACATGGGGTGGGGGACGTGTCGGTGTCCACGGGCCAGGTCGAAGGACAGGGAATGGAGGAGGAAAAGATAGAAAGAGGAGAGGAGGATAAAGAAGAAGAGGGGGAGGAGAAGAGCAGCAGGAAGAGGAGAAGAAGAAGAAGAAGTCACTGAGGAGGAGAAGAAGAGTACAAGGCGGAGGAGGGGGAGAGGGTTGCCCGACGACAGGGGGTGGTGTTGACGGCCGCGGTCGGCCTTTCCCTGGAAAAAAAAAGCGGAGGAGGAGAAGAAGAAGAAGCGGAGGCGGAGGAGGAGAAGAAGAAGATGCGCAGGAGGTGAAGAAGATTTAGAGGTGGAGGAGGTGGAGGGGTTTGCGTCTTGACCAGTGTTGGGCTGTCTTGACGGCGACGTTGTTTTTTGTCAGACGAAAGGGGGGAAAAAACGAAGGGGACTGGAGGAGGAAAGGATCAAAGGAGGAGAGGAGGAAGAAGAAGAGGAGGAGGGGAAAAAAAAGAAAGAAGAAGAGGAGGAGGAGGAGGAGGAGGAGGAGAAGATGACAATGATGATGATGAATAGGAGAGAAGGAAGTAGTGGAGGAGGAGGAGAAGAAGAAGAAGAAGAAGAAGAAGAAGAAGAAGAAGAAGAAGAAGGAGAGAGGAGGCTCACACT